AGGGCCTGTGTTCCGAGGAACAGGAGGCTGTTGAACGAATATTTTCATGGACAGACGACGGTTACTCTGGCACAGCTAGGAGATGCATTAAGGAGATGTGATCGGATGTCTGATAGGTTGAAGTTAGGATTGGTGCTTATCATCGAGAGCATACTCCGGTGTCATCACAAGAAGACATCGATTGACATTTTTCATTTGGAGGTTGTTGAGGATATTGATGCCTTCAACAACTACCCATGGGGTTGGAGATGTTTTCTTGATACATTACGCGTGTTTAGGAGGGGATTTTCAATGCCAAAGGGGGATAAGCCCGAGCGCAAGTACGATGCATATGGACTGCCGTTGGCGCTGCAGGTATATGTTTAAGTTAATGAATTACCTACACTTTTTATATTGAATTCTATACATAATAATTGTAATTGTTTCAGATATGGGTGTACGAGACTGTCCCTATCTTGGCCAGTCGGTATGCGAGGAGAGGAGAGACACGCTATCCTCGGATGCATCACTGGCGAGCACAAGACAAGCCGCTTGCCAGACAGTTATCGGCTCTCCTCGACGATCCTGAGGTACGTATTATACAATTGCTATTTATGTCGTACGTCCTTTTAGAATCTGAATACATAGTCATTAACTGTGACTTATGAAAATGACAGCTTGAAGTTCTCACTGAGTTGGCACCGTCGATCGAGGAGGAGAGTCAGTTTTATATTTCGACCATGAACTTATCAAACTCTTCAAAATTGTAAGCATCTGCAGCTCTCCTAAACAACGCAACGACGCCATTGCCTCAATACCTAGTCTTCAAGTTTCCCTGTATATGGTACATACAATAACCATGATGTGCCTCGGGGAAGACTTCGACGATACCATTTATTATTGACTGCCCTCGATCGGTTACGAATGCAAGATTTTCGACATCTCCAATTACTTCCCTCAACTTCGTAAAAAACCAACTCATTGCTACATCATTTTCTCCGTCGACTATGCCGAACGCAAGAGGGTAAATTTGGATGTTCGCATCTTGGCATGTTGCAATAATCAACTTGCCCCCGTATCTCGCCTTAAGGGTTGTACCGTCGACTAAGATTAAGGGTCGCATTGCATTTCGAAATCCTTGAACACATTGTCCAAGGGCCAAAAAGAAATATCCGAAGCGATTTTCGTCATCCTTCTCAATAAAAAATGCCGACCCAGTATTAATTCTTCCCATGTTATAGCAATACCTGGCCAATGTAAATAAAAATAATCATAATTTAGATAATATATTAAATATTAAAGGAACAGAAAAATAAACAATTCAATTAAATAATTAATTACATATAAATAAACAATTGAAATTAAATAATTAAAATTTACTATAATAAAGAAATAAACACTTAAACAATGAAATACCTGGCTAATTTAGCATAACTCTCCTCAGCCGAACCCATCAAATCCTCCAATGCACATTCTTTAGCCTTCCAAGCCTTCTGATAGCTCATGACCACCCCGTACTCACGTCGAACATCATTAATGATGTCCGAAGGTCTGTAGATCGTTCGTGGATCCTGGAACTTGTGCATTATTTCTCGACCAATAAACCATGATCGGGCCTGCCTATGATCATTTC